ATGGCCTCCCGAGGCTCCTGATCCGCCATGGCCTCCTAAACTACCTGCTCCACCATGGCATCCCGAGTCCCCTGCTCCGCCATGGCCTCCCGAGGCTCCTGATCCGCCATGGCACCCCGAACGGGTACCGCTCTGGAGGCCCACTGTCCCGTGTCTGTCCTGAGGGACCTCCAGAGTGCCCACCCCCCTCCCCATTGGATGTTATATGGCGTGAGGACACGCCTTCCGGAGGGGGCGTTATGTCAGACTTTGGTCCGGTATTGTATGTGTCTATGTCTACATGTATTGCGTGAGTGTTCCTTTGTATTAATTAAACCCATTTGGATTGATGTACTCCTCGTCTCTCTCCGTTCCTTGCTCCTCATTCCGCTCAGCAGTGCACCCGTGACAGCTGCCCCAAGCATGGTTGCAATGTGTTCATTGACAAACTCCAGATTAGATTTAGATTAAATTTGATTATTTTTAATTCTTAAAAAAAATGATATTTTTTATTTGAAAAAGTCCATAACTTTATTTTATTTACCAAACGTTTTAGTTTATCTTGTATATTTTTCTCATTAGATCAGATATCATTTTAAGCTGTCATATGGTCATGTTACAATGTACCCCACTTACGGGGCATGTTGTCACATTTCACTTCCATTCTTTTGGGGTAAATAAAGAAACATGTATACAATGTATTTATGAAACAAAGTGACATATTTGTACTAGACAAGTGGATAAAAAATTATACTCTGAAGTAGGGCTGCATGATTAATCGAATGTGATTGTCATGCGCATCTCGTCAGTAAAGCCGGTTCTGTGATTAGTAGTAAATCTCCATCACGTGCTTTCAGATGGAGCAGTATTTACTACACAGAGCTGTAGTTCTCTGACAAGCTATGCAAAATCGTGTTCATAATCTCAGATGATTTAATCGCGCGATTATGAAATTGAAGAAATCGTTCCGCGATTATGAAAGCTGTTTGCGTAACTTGTCAGTGAACTACAGCTCTGTGTAGTAAATGCTGCTCCATCTGAAAGCATGTGAAAATACCACATTTAATAACATGTTTTTACTCCAAACTCACTTCATAACGTCAGTCGAGTGTTTGAAATAAATCCTTCTGTGAGATTATATGGCTTCTTACACAGAATAAGGCATGCAACATATTTCATATTATTCTAAGCAGTGATAAAGGTTATGTCAATTAGCATTGCATTATTATATACTTTATTATAATGAAAATTATAATAAGAAGAACTCAGATAAACCATATATTGTCTTAGTCATGTGTTTATTAGTCACGCTGAATCAATGAAAGCAGTTAAATCAGTTTATTCAGCTAGCGTTATAGGGATTGGGTTTCTTCTGCGGGGTGTATTTGGAGTTTCTCTGGCCTTCGGATGGAGATTTACTGCTGATCACAGAACCGTGCTTCACTGACAAGATGCGCATGACAATCACAGCTTCTGCCTAATCGCGATTTATCGCCTTTTGCGATTTAATTTAGATTAATCGTGCAGCCCTACTCTGAACCGCATGTGGATTTTCGCAAACTGAAAAAGTAAAAAACCGTTAGGTTGTGCCCATCTGTTTCCTATTCTCTGAAGACGCTGTTGTGTTTGTGTAACAGTGCTGATGTTTAGATCGGTCTCCTCACCTGAATGGCCAGACACAGTGTGTTGAGAACGATGAGCACAAACATGACATACTCAAAGCCCGTGGAGTTCACCACATACCAGAACTTATACTGGTACGGGTTTTTAGGGATGTATCTCCTCAGCGGACGGGCTTTCAGAGCATACTCCACACACTGGCGCTGTCAAAACACACAAGAAAACTCACACCCTCGTCTTTCATTCATATCCTAGCTAGATCAGAATAATATCTGTATGAACTTGCAGACCTGGTTCTTGTCCAGCTCACAGTTCTTGTACTCTTTCTCGCCCTGCTCCTGAAACGTGACAATGACAAAACCCACAAAAATGTTCATCATGAAGAAGGCGATGATGATGATGTAGATGATGAAGAAGATGGAGATCTCCACGTGGTAGTTGTAGATGGGACCCATGTTTTCCTTGTTTGAGTCGATGGCCTTGTACAGCAGGCTGCAGGAGACAAAACACACTCAATGGACCAATGCATTTCAACAGAAGATGTGGGAAGTAGTTCAGTCTATTTATTTTTAACTATACACAATTAATTACATACTTGCATTTTAATATTTGAATTTACCCATCAGTTGAGAACCACTGATTCATGGAGTGATATTAAAATAATTACAGTACAGTTCTTGCAACCATTTACCATCACATATACATCAGCCAAATGCAGATGTGTACTGTATTAAAAAAATGCTATAATCATACTGTACTCTTTTATAGTCACATCCTTGCAGACCCTTGTGAAAAAGTACACTTAAGCATTCTTAAAAAAAAAAAAAAAAAAAAAAGAAC